GTCACTTTAATTGCTTAAAATTTTAATTGCAACGGTGTTTTTTCTTTACTTATTGGTTCCACATTTGTTAATTAATTGCTAGTGATCAAGTTTATAGATTTATAAGAGTGACTTTTTAAGCCCGTTAGCCTGTGGGCAAGGCCGACCCGTTTATAGGGCAGGCAATGGCAAGTTGTCAAGCCCGCCAAAAAGGGTTTCAGTTAATAATATTAGGCCCGTTGGACCAAGAAAACAAGTTAGGCCCGGCCCGCCCGCAAATGATCACCTCTAGACTCTAGTTGCGATATTCAACTACAGATTTTTGTGATTCCAGTATTAGGGAGGTTCACTGTCGGCTAGGCCACTTTTCTATATCTGTCCTTAAAGAACTTAGACCGGATCAGTTTGTGAGTTACCATGTGAGTCATGTCAGTTGGATAAACACACTCGTTGTCATTATCCCCCTTGCAAGTCTAGTCGAGTCAACACGGTGTTTGAACTCATTCACTCGGATGTATGGGGACCGTGTCCTGTTACTTCTATAAATGGGTTAAATAATTCATTATGTTTGTCAATGAATTTTCTTGTGCAACATGGGTTTACCTATTTAAATCTCATAATGAAATATTTTCTATCTTTCATGAATTTTATGCCTATTTTAGATACCAGTTTGATGTTTCCATTAAAACATTGCGATCTGATAATGCAAAAGAATATTTCTCCTGTGATTTTACAAGTCGCTTGTCTGAGCATGGTATTATACATGAATCTTCATGTGCATATACACCCCAGCAAAATGGCATTACGGAACGAAAGAACCGCCATCTACCGGATGTGGCTTGCACTATGATGATTCATGCTTTGGGCTGATGTGGTTGTTACAACTAATTATCTAATTAACCGTGTGCCACTTTCTGTCCTTAAGGCTGTATTTGGTACATGGGACGGGACAGGACAGGACAGGACGAGATAAAACTCATTGTCCTACGTTTGGCACGATATAGGACACGACAACAACTCACTGCCCCATGTTTAGCACGACGTGGGACAGGGACAAGGTGGGATAGTGTAGGATAAAAAAAGTTTTTTTTTGTTCCACCAAAATGGGTGGAACAAGATGGGACAAAAATAAGACAAAAACTGAAGTATTACTAATCTACTCCTATTTGATGTAAAACTATAATATGGTATTTGTTTTAGTGGTCACCACTCCTAGTCTCGGCAGGTAGTCGGCCACCTCCACCTCCTCTTCCACTACAACAACCTCCTCCATAACCATCGACCACCACCGTCCATCGGCACCTCCACAACCATTGTTGGGCACTATAACTACCGTCATCGCCACCACCACTATCATTGTTGGCTACCTCCACCTCATCCTCTACAACAACGTCCACCACCTCCACGGCCACCATCGGTCACCGACCACCACCGTTGGCCACCTCCACATCCTCTTCCACTACAACAACTTCCTTGACCACCTCCACAACCACCGTCGACCACCGTTCATCGCCACCTCCACAACCACCGCCTGCCACCAATCACCACCGTCCATCTCCACTACCACTACCACGGTTGGCCACCTCCACCTCTTCCTCTATACAACAACCTCCTTCACCACGTCCACAACCATCGTCGGTCACAGATTACCACCGTCAATCACCACCATCGGCTACCACTACCCACCACCACTACCACCACCATATCAGTTACAACTACCTCTCCCACCATTGTCGACTACCACCACCACTAGTATCTACCGTCTTCACGTCCTCCACAACCACCGTCGTTCACCGACCACCACCGCCCATCGCCCACCACCGCCCATCACCCACCACCACCGTTACCTCCACCACATCGGCCTACTACCCCTCAACGACTATGACAGCTACTACCACCACTATCCATCATTTTCACGTCCTCAATAGCCACCATTGTCCACCAATCACCAATGCCCCTACCTCACAACCATTGTTGTTGTAAAAATCTTCATCGTGCCTTTGCTAATTGATAAGAATCTTCCAACCCGCATAAAACATAATTTCTTCTTTGTACTAGTCGGGGTTTTTTGAACTACCATCAATTATATCAATTTTTCATTCAAATTTGGTACTATCATATATATATATATATATTTATGTATATATGAAAAATATTTATAAATTAAATTATTTAATCATTTACTTTATTTGTGTTGATTATAACTTTTATATGATATATAAAATCATCAAATTACTTTTAAGGGCAACTTGTCTAGTTTTGTTTTGTTCTGTTCAGTCCTAGTCGTACCAAACACTACACAAACACTTGTATACGATCCTGTCCAGTCCTACCCTCTTGTCTCGTCCAGTTTTGTCCGGTCATGTTTGCGTATCAAACGCTACCTAAAAGGAAGACACCTTTCTTCATTCTATTTCCCAAAGACACTTCCTTTCCCTTGACTTCTAAAATATTTGGATGCGTATCTTATGTTCATGATCATCGTCCGGGACATAAAAACTTGCAGCATGTGATATCAAGTGTCTGTTCCTTGGGCATTCGCTTGTGCAAAAAGGTTATCGTTGTTAGTGTTCAACCCTTCGTATATATTTCACGTGTGCTAATGTCACCTTCAATGAGTCGAGTCCCTTCTTTGTCAAACCTACCGGCAATGCTCCAGAGTCCGCAAATCCAATTCCTGACCCCTTTGAATCTTCTGATACTCAAGTCTTACGCTTCCCGGTACTAGCACAAAATTCCTCTATTCAGACATCTCCGACTGATACTCAGTTCACCAAGGTGTATGTTCGACAACACCAAAGACAAGTGCATGAGAACCGGGAGTCGTTACTTATGCATCATGATTCTGACGAGTCTCCTGTTCCACCACCTAACACATACATATCATCGCCTACTATATAGTCCCTGATTCAATACCTGATACACCTTTACCATCACATACCGAGCCTTTCGGTCCAATTGCCTTCTGAAAAGGCACAAAGACTCGTACCCGATATCCCATTCAAGATTATCTTGCTTACTCTCACCTCTCTTGCAAGTCATGTGCCTACACTATAGCCATTGATAGCCATATTGTTCCCAGGAATGTGACTGAGGCTCTTAATCACCCGGGATGATTTAAAGCAATGCATGAATTGATGGATGCCCTTCACAAGAATCATACTTGGGATTTGGAACAACTTTCTCATGGCAAGTGCAAAGTAGGTTGTAAGTGGGTATTCACGGTGAAATTTCATATTGTTGGTTCACGGTTGAAAGCCTGGTTAGTTGCAAAGGGTTATTCTCAAGCCCATGGAGTTGACTATGATGAGACATTTTCCCCTGTGGCTAAAATGTTGTCTGTTCGCATTTGTATAGTTTTGGCTGTCATCAATCATTGGTCGCTTCTTCAATTGGATGTCAAGAACGTCTTAATGGCATTTTTGTGGAGGAGGTGTACATGGAACAACCACCCGGGCTTGTTATTGAGGAGGAGACCACAAAGGTATGCCGATTGCGACGATCGTTGTATGGTCTCAGACAGTCTCCTAGAGTTTGGAAATCTAGTTTCTTGGAAAAACAAGAAACAACATATTGTCTCACGATCAAGTGTTAAGTTAGAGTATAGAGCCATGGCAGATGAGCCATGCGAAATGACGTGGGTAAGGAGACTTCTAAGTGAACTTGGAGTAATAACAGACGACTTGATGAGACTATATTGTGATAACCAGTCATCTATTCATATTGCCAAGAATCAAGTATTGCATGAGGAAGCCAAAACATATTAAGGTTGATTGTCATCTAATCAGAGACCGTGTCGCGAGAACCCAAAATGACCCTCCTTTGATCCAAGCGGTACATATCAGGGCAGTACCAGCTTGCATACATCCTCACGAAACCATTACGAAAATCACAAATAAATTTTATTTGTAACAAGTTGGGCATGATTAACATCTTTGCTCCAACTTGAGGAGAAGTGTTAGATATAGTAAAGTAGGGTTTAGCTTTCTTAGTATCATTTCCTTAATTATGTTGTTTGGTTGTATATATATTGTGTAGAGTTCCTTACTAGTTTAATGAGAAATACATCACTTTTAGTGATTACAGTTAGGAAATTGAATTATCTTATAGTGGCCCATCTTGATATTGTCTATTCGGTTAGCATTGGTCAGTCGATTTATGCCATCACGAACAGTTCATCACTGGATAGTGTTAAAATAAATTTTGTGTAACATGAAAGGAGCACCTGGACGTGGCATTGTGTATGTGAATCATGGACATAGCCATATTAAATGTTTTTCAGGTACAGATTAGGCAGGTTCCAAAATGGACAGAGAATCCACTTCAAGATATTGTATAATTCATGGGGAAGTAAGAAGAAAAAAAAATTGTCTCAAGATCCAACACAAAGTCATAATACTAGGCTATGGCACAATATGCTTGTGAGATAATGTAGATATATCAGCTCATGATTGAAATAGGACTTAAGAGACTTAAGCTCATGACTGAAATAGGACTTAAGAGACTTCAGTACCAGCAAACTTGTGGTGTGACATTAAATTGCTCTTCATATTGGATCTAATCTTGTATTTCATCCGTGGACATCTTCATGAAATCTTTCAATGGGATTTGGGTTGATTATCTTTGTAACAAGTTGGTCATTGTTAATATTTATGCTCCAACTTGATGGGGGAGTGTTTGCTGAAAGTAGATAAGTAGGGTCGATTTTTCTAGTTATTGTTTGTATAGTTTCCTAATATGGTCTCTCTAACTTGTGTGTCTATTTGTACATCTCTTCTCATTATTTAGAACAGAAAATTAGATTAACTTTAACTACACAATGTTGAAATCTTCAAAATTATGTTAAAAAGGAAAACCACACAGGAAAACGTGTCACATTAGTAGAAGTTGAAAAAATGCAATTATAGGAGGAAGGAACAGGTTATCTTTTAGGAATTAGAACTTTGTGAGACAACAAAAGTTACCTCTCTTTTTCATTTCTATATCTGACCAAATATCCTCATTTTGTGTTTATTTCCCAGGTCAACGAGTTTCTTTCTGGCTCTGGTACTGATGCTCCTAATGTTGATGATGAGAACATTTTTGCCAGATCTTCCAATGATGATATGTGGGCAAAAACTCTTTTAGAGCCATCAGAACTTGATGTGAGGATCTTGCTATCATGTGGCTTTGCATATTGGTTGGTGCATAACCATAAGATATCTTTACCTTGTGCAGGATGACGAGTCATCTAGCTCTTCTTCCCCAGACTCGCTAGCTTCAGCTGAAACATCCATTTCATCTCAATTTGGTGGAATGAATTATCCATCATTGTTTAGTTCAAAGTCACAGCTCAAGGTTTGTAACTGATGGAAACATAGTTTTAAGTTCATTATTTATTAAAAACGTCTCCAACAGCTTCTCTATAACTTCTCCAAAATGAAGAAGTCATAGTCAAAATTTGAAACTATATTCGACTCCAACGTTTTGGAGATTTGTACATTAACTATATACAATTACATATTTGTAAGAAGACTATAACAGTGTTATATGATGTTAAAGGAACCATCGGGTCCAAGCAGCAATACTGCTACTTGTTCCTCTTTCTATGAAGATTATGGTTCTCCGGTGAGGCTCTTTCTAACCATTATCAACTAAGACTTCACTATATAATTCTGTCTATACAATTAATTACCAACTAATTTGCTTTTCTTTTCTTTTTCAAGATTAGAGAAGAGCCAACTCCATACTCATCACCTTTTCACCAAAGTTACGAATCATTTGTGAATCTCTTAGCTGGGACGGATAGTGGCTATAAATACATTGATGAGGACCGATCCTCTTCTGTGAACATGGAATTTGGAACAGCACTTTTTGACTTCACCGCTGGTGGTGACGATGAGGTAGGCTGATTTTCAGTGGATTTTTGTGTTGCTTTATTCTACAATGTGAACAGGCCACTTCTTGACTTCAATTCTTTGATTCCAGTTGAGTCTAGTTTCCGGAGAAGAGCTTGAAATCGAATACGAGGTTGATGGATGGTTCTATGTAAGTACACCATGTATAGAAACACCACCTTGATATTATTTATTCCTTTCTTCCTGTCAATCTACATTTGGCAACTCCAAGGGGGTTGTATTTATGTACCTTCTGCTTTTACATAGGTTCTTCTTTAATGCAAATGGCTGATAATTATATACGTTTCAAACGTATTGCAGGTGAAGAAATTACGCCCTGGCTGGGATGGGAAAATAGCCGGACTGGTTCCCGTTCTCTATGTGAGCAAATCTTGAAACTCATGATTCATTGTTCAATTCCGAATAATAAGCAATTGAATTCGAGCTTCGGTTGCTGCCCTTTTTGACACGGTCTTATCATTTTGCGGAGACCTGTGTTTTTGGCACCCGTTGTTCTAGAGTTATTTGCCCATTTTTCGAATTACTAGTTGTAGAGAAGTTTTAATTTGTGTACAAGAGATAGATCACCCCGAGTTGGCATATATATACTTCGAAAAACTAAACCCTTATTACAATAAAAGCTTTTGATTTGATAACACACACAACTTACTAGTTTTCCATGTCATACATTTACATTTGTCCAGGTGTGACATATTGTTTTAATGGTTTTTCTTATTACATGATTGTATTTTTAAAATTATTTTATTATAGCATCATTAATTAGTTCTTACTATTAAGAGTAATTTTGGAGGCCTTGTTACACCTGTTACCACGTATTACTACTATTATTCATCTAAAACAAGTAATGAACAAGACAATACAAAAGTTCACATCATTATTAAAAGTCTTAGAATATAAAACAACAAAAATGCTTAAAATGACAAAGTAACATGTGAAATTTGCTTAAACAAAATCATTCTTTTAACATTCTTCGAAACGAAGTCTTTAATGAGTTCGTCATAATCAATTTTATCCAAAAAGTTATTTTCAATTGTGGTCAAGGCAAGTCCATTAAGTTTATTTTGTGTCATTGTGGAGCGTAAATAGGACTTCAATAACTTCAACTTTGAGAAACTTCTTTCTGCAGAGGCAACAGTTTCAGAAAAATTGTCTAGAAAATCTATTTTTAGGGCCCTTTTTGAACAGACAAATCTCTATTAGGATCCTTTACAACTAGCACATCAATTATCAATTTAGAATCTAAAGCATCCCAATTTCTTGGATCAATAATATCGAAAGTATTAAAAACATCATTAACATCCGTAGAAGCATTAACATCATTAGAAGCATTAAAAACATGAATATCATCCAAACTAACACTAGGATCAACATTAGCATCATCAACATAAATAGCATCAACATTAGCATCATCAACATAAATAGCATCAACATTAGAATCAATACGAGTATCATTCAAATTATCACAAGGATCATCATCATCAAGAGAAGCTTTTTTATCTTTTTATGCTTTTGACATCCAGACTCGTGTTTTCTAATCCTAGAAGACATATTGAAACCGAATAAGTAAAAACCAGTAAGAAACAACACAACGAGGAAATGTGGCTACTGATTTTTTGTTCTCCCTTGCTCCAACTTCCAAAGCTTTTGTTTTCACTACAAAATAAGATAAAATAGATATATATTTTATCATTTTTATGTTTTATGTCCACCATATCATTCTGAAGACAATGACAAACAATACTTGAATACAGAAAATTAGAACTTAGAAGCAGCTTCTCATGTGAATTTTCAAGTTAAAGGTCCATAACCCATTAAGGCCTTAACAATAAATTTTCAGAAAATTATAGTAATAAAGATTAATTAAGGTAGCATAAAAGAAATGAAATTTAGCTCTTCTACTTGGGGAGCTTGAATGATGAAGAGTTGGAGGTCTCACTATCAAAATTCTGAATCAAGGTGACTTCAGACTAGAGAATTGAGAAATCCCAAGCAAACTCTTAAATTTTCGAATTAGATTGTAGATTTTCTCAGATTTTCGAACTTGATCAGCAGATTGTATCTCAGATTCTGAAATGTGAGAAGCAGATTGGTTTCTAGGATTTGTATTGTGCTGGTCGACAAAGTCCATATTATAGAAGCGATTTGAATGGAGGAGGTTGATGTTTCCGTTGAGTATCTGAAATCATATCGTAAGCAATCATCTTCGATGCCTTTGGGGATTTCAATAGTCGCATACTCGAAATGGGAACAAAAGTGAAGAGAAAATCGAAGAGTCGGGCTGTGCTTTACTGCTTTTTCACTACTAGAAAACCAGATATTACCGACGAATATCAGCGAGGAAAAAAATCTCTCGCAGATCAGCGAGGGAAATTCCAAAAACTCATTCCCTCGCAGATCAGCGAGAGATCAACAAGGGAATGGGTTTTTAGACAATCCTTTGCTGATCAACGAGGGAATGAGTATTTTGGCATTTTTCCTCGCTGATCCCTCGCAGATCTGCGAAGAATCAGCGAGGGAATCTGATTTTCGTCATTTTTCTATTTTATAACTATAAATTTAATTATTTATTAATTTTTAATTATTGATTATTAAATTTTCAATTATTTATTATTTATTAGAATATTACAAAAATTAATTAATAAAGCCCATTAAGGCCCATTAAACAGAATAAAGTCAAATAAAACTGAATAAAGTTCATTAAGACCTGATAAACTCAATAAAACCCGGTAAATAGATTAAGGCCCAATAAAACCGAACAAAGCTCAGTTAAATGGGTTAAGGCCCAATAAAACCGGATAAAGTCCAATAATATGAATTAAGACCCAATAAAACCGAATAAAGTCCAATAAAATAGATTAAGACTCAATAAAACCGAACATGTATACATACGATACCTACATATAAAAATGTGTATATATAACACATAAAAAAACAAGAAAATAAGAAAATAAGACAATTTTCTCGTTGATCCCTCACTGATCAGCGAGAGAATTGTTTTTTTGCCAATTCCTTCGCTGATCCCTTGCAGATCAGCGAGGGAATAAGTAAAAAGCAGATTCCCTAGCTGATCTGCGAGGGAATCTGATTTTCGTCATTTTTTTATTTTATAACTACAAATTTAATTACTTATTAATTTTAAATTATTAACTTTTAATTATTGACTATTAAATTTCCAATTATTTATTATAATATTACAAAAATTAATTAATAAAACCGAATAAAGCCGATTAGGCCCAATAAAACCGAATAAAGCCCATTGAGGCCTATTAAACCGAATAAAGTCAAATAAAACTGAATAAAGTTCATTAAGGCCCGATAAACTCAATAAAGTCCGGTAAATGGATTCAGATCCAATAAAACCAAATAAAGCCCAGTTAAATGGGTTAAGGCCCAATAAAACCGAATATATCCGCATATAACACACACACTATCTATACATTCACATATACACATRCGTTTAAACATATATATATCGATCCAATCGTGGTTAGCAACCAGTACACCTCGTGTATATATATGTATATAACATTGACCGACGAGTATATATACATATAACACATACAACGTCATGTAAACATATGTATATAACAAGGGCTGACGGGTATATATACTTATAACACATGCACATGTATACATACGATACCTGAATATAAAAATGTGTACATATAACACATAAAAATCAATAAAATCAAGAAAATAAGACAATTTCAATCAGCGAGGGAATTGTCAAAAATTAATTTCCCTCGCCGACTACCACCACCGACCCCGTTGCCAACCACCACCGTCCCCATTGTCGACCACCACAGCCGCCTCATCGCCGACCACCACCGCCGTCTCTGTTTTCGACCACCACCGCCGTCTCCGTTTACTTAGGTTTGTTTTGTTTTAATGATTTTTTTACTTCTGTTTTGGCCATAGAAATTTAATTCTCAGATCTGTTCGTTTTTGGGATTGGTTCGTTCGACAGTAGAAAATCAAAGAAGAAGCTCCAATCTCAGATCTGTTCGTTTCTGTTTTCTAATATGACGTTCGTTTCTGTTAGATGCCATGTAAAGTGACCATATATGAATTTAAACGAATTTATGTTTCTAATGGTTTCGTTTCTGTTTTCTAATAGTAGAAAAGCTCCAATATTAGAAAACAGATTTGTGCATCTTGTTTATGATGGTTAACAGTGCAGTATGATGTTCTTCCATATGTATATATTAACAGTGCAAAACAGGAGACTTTCTAAAATCAACGAAAAGTTTAAATCTAAAGAAAAAAGGGAGAAATTTGGAAAGAAGAAAGGAAGTTTATAAATTTGCAAAAAATTAAACACAGCAAAAAAAGAAATTGGTTTTGTTGGTTTATTTGATGGTTAGATAAATTTACTTTGAGAAACCCTCAAATTTATTTTGGTTATATATGTATATAATAATAAAGAACACGTACGTATTCTAGATTAAATTAACTTCGTTAGTTATGTTTATTGCTAATTAGTTGGGTTGCCAATTGTTGGGCAAACATTAGACTTGATTATCTATACTATCTTATTAAGCAAATTTAGCAAAAGTCTTAAAGTCTTAAAATACTAAATGACCAAAATACCTTTTATACTCACTTTTCACTTTTTTATTTTTTCACCCCCTCCTCTCCTCACATACACTCACCCTCTCGCAACCGATTTTTTTAAAATTATAATTTTAAATTTACATTTTATATCCCTATAATTAATTAATTAATTAATTTACTTTACGTCATTTACTTCTAAATGATTCATTTTAAACCTTTATCAAATTAACATACATAATCGTATATCAATTAAAACATGTTTAAAAAATAAATTTTTATTTTAACAAGTTACACAATTATAATCATCTCGTTAATACCTTCGAAATAAGTCCAATATTGAATAGTTTTTGACTTAATTATATTATTATATATAATGTGAAAAAATATTTTTAATATTTACGATTTATACTTTTATAGTTATTTATTTATATATACTATATATTTTGGGGTTAGGCTATCCAAATTGTACTGTATAATATGTTTTGAATTAATATGTTCTTGGGTATACATGTATTAATTCAATTTTCATCTGAGTTTCTGGACAAGAAAAAGAGTAAGCAGTTGAAATTTCATTCTAAAACCCATCTTTTTTTGTCTTTTCATGGCTTATGATATGTCAAATTTGTAGTTTTCTTTATTGTTTTTGAGTGTTTATCTTAAAACTCAAGTTTCTTGGTTCTTTGCTTTTGGTGTAAATCAAATACATTTGTGGAATCGTTTAAATATGTTGGATTTTAAATATATTGGATTTTAAACTGTCATACAATTTTTTTCATCGATAGTATGTAATTGGAACCATAACTCCTATTTATTCAAATTGT